TTACTTGAGCTCGGCTGATTGCATGCACCACACCCTTTTCTCTTTTCAAAGTTCTTTTCTTTCTCAAAGTTCTTTCCGCTTTTTCTAAAACTCTTTTCTTTTCTCAAAAATCCATTTTTACAAAAATTGATTTTCCTTTTGAAAAATTTTATATTAATTCCTTAGTTTGAGTTCAGACACACTCGAAAGTGTGCCCGAGTCACTCAAACCAAGGCTCTGATACCAACTTGAAACGACCCAAAAATCATGACTAAAAATTTCATTTTAATTTAATAATAAAACCACAAATTGTCCACCATTCATACAAAACATATCACGTCAGAGTAACATGACCAAAACATTATTTTATTATCAGAGTAAAACATCCCAGGCTGACTAACTATGGTGTGTGCCATGCGATCATCCTGAGCTCGTCCCTCCGCTACCGGAAGTACCTGAAACCAAAACTGAAAACTGTAAGCACGAAGCTTAGTGAGTTCCCCAACCTACCACATACCCTGCATAATCACATACTGCAAATACTGGGCCACGCCCGCTACTTCGGGCCTCGCCCACTGCCTCGGGCCTCGCCCGCTACAACGGCCCCGCCGCTCCAGGCCCCGCCTGGCTTCGAGCTGCGCTCGGATACAGATCTGTTTCTCTTAGGCCTCGCCTGTCTCTGGGCCCCGCCCGCTAAGCACATACTACATATATCCATAATATATAACACATAAACTGAACGTGCCCTACTGTATTCCTATTCTAAGGCCTCGCCTATCTTGGGCCTCGCCCCTGTCCTGCTGAATATGAGTCATGGAACCCCGTCCAAGCTCCTGCTATTAGTGAGATACGGGCCCCCGCCCACACTCACACTTTGCTTATCTCGGGCCTTGCCCCTGATCTGCTACTAATGAGATACGGAACTCCGTCCGCACTCTGCTAGTGGTGATATACGGGACCTCACCCACACTCACCTACCTACCATGCACATACAAGTATCACACAGACAACAAGTATAATCTATCATGCAAATAGTCCTTGGGCTCCCGCCCGACATCGGACCTTGGTCCGGATTATCATACTAGCATACTATGCCTAGGGCTAACCCCCAGGTCTTCCAACTCATAACTACATGGGCCGTCGTTGTGGCCTTAGACCCATTCACACAAAAGGAAACTCACCTTGCGCTGCTGAAGCTTCTGATGATACCCTCGTGACTGTTATCTGAAAACTCCCCGAACTACTGCTCCTCTAGCTCCCCGAGCTACCAATACCAATGTAACACTTAATCTCAAACTGAACTCTGGAAGTCAAACTAAGTCAACTCTGGTCAAAGTCAAAGTCCTGGTCAAAGTCAACCTTCCAGATTGACCCTACTCACCGAGTCAGCCTACTGATTCGCTGAGTTCATACACTTAGACACCTTTCCATTCGCGACTCGACTCGCCGAGTCATCCCATGACTCGCCGAGTCTTCCAATCTCCAAGTTCTGCCCTGTCCAACTCACTGAGTCACCACACAACTCACTGATCTGACTCGGGACCAAAAAGGGATTAGGGTTTCGACCCGACTCGCCGAGTCCAAGAACAGACTCGCCGAGTCCATCTTCATCATCTTCATTCTGATGATTACAGTCCATTCCAATGCTTCCCAATTGCAGATATGGGCTCCTAAGGCTAGCATTACACGTAAAGTTGCTAACTTTACGTGCATGCAAAGGGTTATGAAGCTAAAACACTAAATCTAAGCTACAATGGATGGTCTAAGTCATGAAAGGAAGCCATAGCTGAGAAAAGCTTCTTCCTCAGAGCTTCTAGAGCTCAGAAATGCTCAGATCTGAAGTCCTCTTTGCTCACAAAGGCACAATACACGAATTGGCCTTAGCAATGGCCCAAAAGTGACAAGATACAAGCTAAGGGGGGGAATCTAGATGATTATTAGCCAAGGTATGAGCTTTATACCTTCAAATGATCTAGAATGTCACCCAAACCCTGGATATATACTCCTTTCCTTGCTCCCTTTCTTCCACAACCTTCAAGATGCACTCCAAGAACCCTAACCTTCTCACACAAGCTCAAGAATGGAGTTGGGCGGCTAGGGTTTCGTCTTTGGATAGTGGAGGCTGTAAATGAAACCCCATAAATGAGAATGAGATGCTTAAATAGGGTACCAAGTCCCGATTTTAGGGTTTCCCAACCCAGACCAGACTCGCCGAGTCAGTCTCCCCGACTCGCCGAGTCGGTCACTTAATCCGCGACATTGGTCCCGCTCCGACTCATCGAGTTCCTTTGTGGACTCGATGAGTTGCCCCTTTGACTTAGGGCTTTCCTTCCTTTCTTGGTGCTGCCGGTTTAGGGGTGTTACAGCGGGCCTTTCTTGAATTAAGGATTTATGTTCGGACGGTCTTAAGGAAAAGGAGAGTTGGTGGCAGTGTAGTGATTCTTATTACCTTTTCGGGCATATAAAGAACGCCGAAAATGGATTTGCGATGCAGAAGTTATGGCCTTCAGAAGTTTGAATGGTAAGAAGTTTGCCCAGTACGTTGGGCGTACTTGGCCTCTTGATCGGAGAACCTTACCCCAGTATGTTGGGCGTACATGGAGTATGTTGGGTGTATGTCATTCAGATGCAAAACTTGATCGGTTTTGAGCAAAAGAACATTCCTATGTGCACATGCAAAACCCTAAAGCTTTGGATCTAGGTTTCTCTATTGTAAATGTAAAATTATCCAATGCTTATAAACCCTAGATCTAGCATACAAAATTTGTAAATAACAAATAAAACAAGTTTAGATGATTACTTTTGATTGTTGCAAGAATCTTCAAGCTTTAAGAGCCTAGTACCACAAGCGTAGTACCTCTAATCAATCACAAACACCAAGGCAAGAAGGATGATCTTGGAGAGAGGAGATAGAGGCACAAAATCGGCTCTAAGGACTTATTGGGGTTTCTGGTAGCCGATTTCTATAGCCCTAGGAGTCCTTATATACTTGAGCAGCTAAGGTTTCAGTCAAAATCCTAATTGGATAGCTTAGGCCTTAAGCGGTCCAAAGAACCTTCTGGAATAAGGCCTTGGGCGATTTCAAGGTGGGTTTCCACCCTAATTCCGTCCACCCCTTGGTCTATATGGATTCACAGCCCAAAATCAATTATCTTATAATTGCAATACTAGTCCCCTTTAGTTTAATTAATCTCTTTTGATCACATAATTAATTTCTTAATTAATTCTTGACCAATATTAATTAACTAATATGATTTCTCTTTTAATATATTATTCTTATAATATATTAATAAACCATAATAACCTCTTTCTCCATTAATCATCCAGTCAAGTTGCTTTGGTGAAGGCAACCTAAAAGGACCATGCTAAAACCGGGTCAAGTACATACCAAATATAGTTATGTACTTAGACATTAATCCAACAAAACTTAATATAGGGTCTTCGACCCTATTTAAAGTCCTTAACTCATTTCCAACCCCCTTATCTTCAGCCTCCATCCCATCTAACCTTAACTTCGAAACCCTAGCCCCATTTGGAAGGATTTTGAACCTTTGAGTGATTTTGGTGGATTTTTGGTGCATTTGGAAGAATAGGAACTCCTTGGAGAAGTGGTGGTTGTCTTGGAGCTTGTAGATTTAGGCATCGTTCACCTGGATCTAGCTTCTTTGGAGAAGTGTTCATTGTCTTGGAGCTTGTAGATCTAGGCATCATTCACCTTGATCTAGCTTCGGGAGGTATAAAGTTTTAATCTTGATGGTTCTTTCATGTCGATCTATTTTGGGTTATTATTTGTCATCTTTTGGTCCCATGTTTGTGGTTCTTGTGAGTGGAAGTTACTCCATAACCTTTGAGCCTTATATTTGGTCTTTGTTGAGGCCATTAAGTAATAAAAAATTAGATCTTGATGAGTATAATCCTTCCATGCATGAGTTGGTGGTCTTTTGATGAAGTTTGAGACTTAAGGCTTTGGTTTGGGCACCATTAAGCCATTCAAAGTCATAAATTCAAGAACTTTATGACTTAGGATACCCCAAAAGAATAAGATCTAGAAGATTAACATTTTGTCTTAAAGAATTAAGAACAAAAAGTGGAATTTAGGCTTGTGCAGTGTAGGTCAGGCGTATTGAGGTGGTACGCGGGGCGTACGCACCAAGGTGCCTTATTGGGACTTAGGTCTTTTGGGAAATTGGGCCATGAGTTCTTGGGTCAGATATGGGAAGGGTAAAATGATCTTTTACCCGTTAGAATGATAGAATATGAATTGGACCTTGAAATTCGGGAATTTTCCTTAATTATTGATTAAATATAATTTTGTTGTGTTCAGTGTAAGGAGCCCGCTAGAAGCAGCGTGTGTGATTCAGTTATCTCTAGATTGAGGTGAGACTCCTCGCTATGACCGTGGGTTGAAGGCACCAATATCGGCCCACTAGGATATGTTATATGCTAGTTGTCTTTGTGACTCTTGCATTCTATATGGAGCTAGGCGCATTGTATGTTTGGCTAGGCCCATTGTATGACAGGCTAGGCCCATCTATATATTAGGGTGGGCCTATTGATTAGGAAGGGTTAAGCCTATTGTTATGGGTTGGCCCAAATGTGAGGGTTAGGCCCAAATGATATGTATAATATATGGTATTTTGTTGAACTCACTAAGCATTGTTCTTACAGTTTTATGGTTATGGTTTTAGGTACTTCCAGTACGAATGGGAGGGGTCCGACTTTATTGCAGCACGTCCACCCATGTTTCCACACCTTATAATTTTGGGATTGTACTCTGATAACTATTTTTACTTTGACGACTACTAGAAAACAACCCTTTAATGACACACGAAAAATGACATGCACTGATTTAGGATATGCATTTTTTGCGTGTCCTAAAAATAATGTCATTTTTCCAAAATTTGTAGGATAGAGGACACACATTTGTGCGTTCCCTAAAATTAGTGTCCAACAAAATCGGAGGACACCTATCATAAAAAAAAACATATGTAAAAGTCTCGTTTTATAATTTTTGTCATGTACGCGCGTTCTATGTTTTTTAATAGCTTCATTCCCAAAAAAATAAAAACCCCGCCTGATGCATCTCCTCCTTCTCGTTGTAAAACCTTTACCTGAGAAACCCTAATAGAATTATTCGGCTGTGACTCTCTCCCCCTTTCGTATTTTTGGACCTTTCCAACCATACGAAGGTCAAAGGCATCAACTATCCTCTTTTATCCACCATTTCTCCCTCTCAAACGTTAAAGACGCGCCATCCCAAAATTGGAAGAACTAGGGCTTTTGTGCTCTGGACCTCACGAGCCACAAGTTTTCCTCATCCCTACCCTTACCCATCCGTATTCCTTCCTTTTCAGTTGACTATATGTTCTCGCCTCTCAATCGTACCCGAATCAATATCTATGTCTCTCTCGTGTCTATTCTCTCAATATTTCTCGGGCTTTCCTATTTACCACCAGAGTTTGAGAGCAAAAATAGAAAAATAGAAAAATAGAAAAAGAAAAGATGTGCCCCTTCTTCCTCTTTTCCTCCTCTAGTTCGATCACAACCCTTCTTCTCCAATCTTATATTTTTTTTTTCGATTTGCAGGTGATGGTGTGAGGTGGCGTTTGAAGGCTGTGAAGGGGTTATGAAGAGATCATGGCTGGTGATTGTTCGGTGATGGAGAAATAAGGGTGTGTTTGTGTGGGTGATTAAAAACTTTCACAAAATCCAAGTGCAGAAGCCCTCAAATCATAAACTTTAAGAGGGGAAAAGGAAGAAAAGAAAAGAACAGTGAACCGAGAATCAGGAAAAAAAGCGGAGAGATAAGCAAATCCATGTAAATTGTTCGGTGATGGAGAAATAAGGGTGTGTTTGCCGATTGTTCCTTTGTATATTCGTGTTCGTCACTCTTTCTCTCATATTCTTATTCATTTGCATTCCCTAGTAAATTCTCATTATCCTAATAATGAACTTAAAGCTAAAGAGTAATTTTAGTTTTCCGATTGTGTTCATGTTGGGTGATTTGATTAATATGTATATTGGGTTTTATTTCATTCCTGTGAACTTTAGGGTTCTCGGTTCATGAGTGCAGAGCAAACAACACATACCCATTCATGTTCTCATCTAGTTTAACGTTACATTTCATTCAACATTCACTCTTCCTGGTTCAGATATTTTTGGTGGCTATATGATTTCTAATATTTTTTTTTCACTGGATGAAGTTTGATTGCAGAATTTGGACAAAAGGAGCATGTTGGTTGAGATATTTCTAGAGTAAGGTTTAAATTTGTGATGGTTTATGGTGTCTCTAGGGGATCTTCTCAAGGAAAAGAAAAAGAAGCCAAGGTCTTAAGTATGATACATGGTTAGTTAAACCCAGGTTATATAACAGGAAACGGATTGTTGGTAATTAAAATCACAATAATTAGTTTAAACCCAGGTTATATAACAGGTAACATGTTTTTTCATTTCTATATACAGTATATACATAAACACACACTTATATAGTTATATGTAAGTTTTAACATATAGTCCCTGAAAGTGAATTATTTATTATCAGGCCCTCTTTCATCAGTATGGAAAGAATGGATCAAATGGTGCATTGAACTTGGGATTGAGGCAAATACTATTCTTGTTGCTCCATATGATTAGAGATTGTCACCATCAAAGCTTGAAGAACGGGATTTGTACTTCCACAAGCTAAAGTTTGTATTCAGTTTATAATTATCTTTCAATCATCATCTGAATCATAATAATTTTGACACCCACATTTTTTTTTTAAATTTCATTGCAGACTTAACTTTGAAACAACTCTGAAACATCGTGGTGGGCCCTCCATAGTATCTGCCCACTCTTTCGGTAACAATGTTTTTCGTTGCTTTTTGGAGTGGCTGAAGCTAGAATTTGCCCCCAAAAAATGTATCCAATGGCTAGTTGATCGCATTCATGCCCATTTTGTTGTGGGTATGTCACACCTACATGTCATTCTGGCATGACACCAACTTTAAGGTGCAATTTAGGCATTTATGTTTTTTAATTCTTACTTTCAGGATCTCCACTTCTTGGTTCAGTTCAAACAGTAGAAGCAACACTCTCTGGATCCACATTTGGTCTTCCTTTACCTGAGGTTTATTCTAAGTAGCAGTAACCATAACAGAATTGGGAGAGTACACCAAGGCAACAAATACTGCATTCATTGATGTTGAAAATGGTGATGCTGCCAGCAGAATTGAAATTGTAAATATTGGGCGAATTATTAAGTAAACTGCTATCTCTGAGATGGTGGCAACAATTTATGCAATATCAAATGAACTCAGTAAATTGTGCACAGGAAGGGCATCAACAGGTGTTTATAGTTATTGAACAAATATAATAAATTATATATATCCAATCAATTGGCCTAAAAAGACCGGTATACCCTCCTTGTTTGTAAAATGTGTTTTTTTAAAGATTTATGTGTTTTTTTAGATCACTTGGTATGATCAAGCGGTTTAACATCAATACACAAGACAACACTTGGTACGTATAAGTTTTTTTTGTCATTGTTTCTCATAATTTGTGTTTTTTATGATGGTTGACAATTCTGGTCATGTTTTCACACAGATCATGTTTGAGGATGATGTTATGGTGCTTCTTGATTTGGTGAAAGTTGATTCATGTATCTTAATCCCTTCTAATGTTCCATTTGTTATTGATTATATTTTTCAGGTCAAATTTAGAGAGATTATTTGTATACATTATATTTATGTATAATGAGATTATTGAATGTGATTCAGTTTAAATGTTAATACATTTATTGTATGAAATGAATTGTTTAAATGTGATTATTGTTTTCTTATTATTCATCAATGTGTGCCGTAAATGCGTATTGTAAATGTATATTGTAAATGGTTGTTGAACTTTATGACACAAATGCGTGTCATCTTCATTTATGATAGGGGTTTTAATGATACGCAATGTGAGTCGTAAACATGCGTCGTAAGGTTATGACACACAAAAGAGTGTCATCTTACTTTTTGACAGGGCCTTCCTTCACACGCATCGCGTGTCGTAAACGTTGAAACATTCCAGAAATACAGGCCAAAAATTTCATTTTAATTAAGTTATTACATAAAACCATCAGCATAAAAACATTCGTAATAATGTCTCATGTCAAAACCAAAGTGTCAATAATCAAAACATAGTATCATAAAACTATATCAGAGTGAAATCCCAAAGATCTCATGTGCGGAAAACCATAGTGTGATGCGCTGCGATTGAGCCGACTCCTTTCCTTTGAAAACGAAGTACCTGAAACCAAAACTGAAAACCATAAACACAAAGCTTATGAGTTCCCGAAAATACCACGTACATAAAATTAGCCACTCGAGGCTATAGCTCTACGAGACCTTTCGGTCAATGTGTCTCAGTGGAGCCTTCGGTCCCACAACTCTGGTAGACCTTCCGGACCTACCCATGATGACCTTCCGATCCTAAATCTGTTGACCTTCCGGTCCAAACCCTGTTGACCTTTCGGTCCAAACCATGTTGACCTTCCGGTCCAAACCATGCAAACTCAGGATATAACATATACATATCACATAAAAACATATATCACATAACCCTTATAAGCACATAAGACCTTCTGGTCACACATAATTACCACTCTAGGTAAGGTATAGTGAGAAGACTCACTTGGCACTGCTGAAGTCCCGCAGATAAAACTCCAGTGTCGGTTGACAGGTTCCCGAACTGTCAACATCAAAACATTACCCAATTAATAATTAGGTTCCACTACATAACCATATATACATACTTTGGATAATTACTACATTATCCCAAGCTTGGCTTTATTCCAGCCCAAGGTCCAATCCACAAGCCCAAAAGTCAAACTAGGAATCAAAGCCCAACATATGGCCTAATTTTCCAAATTGGGCCCAAGCCTTTACATGGTCTTATTCTAAGGCCCAATATCAAATTATCATTAAGGCCCAAACTATGGCCCATCTATGGCCTAATTTTCCAAATTGTGCCCAAACCCCTTACAAGGGCCTTACTCTACGCCCATTAAATTATTCTAGTTCAATTGCTTGCTCTTGGATGGCCCATTATTATCCCAATCATCTAGGCCCAATAGAAAGGCCCAACTTAAGGCCCAAGTGAAATTAGGGTTTCACATAAAATGATGATTAGGGTTAAGTTTCCTACTTAACCCATTAAGGACTTAATCCACTAAGGACTTAATCCATTAAGTCTAATATTGCTTAGATTAATCTTTGCAAATGATTATTATTTAATATTTCAAGCTATCAAATAATTCCTGTGTATGTCCCGATTAATTCTCAAAATTAGGGTTTTATTGGCATTAGGGTTTTCCAAACTCTAATTAGGGTTTCCAACCCAAATACTAGCCCATTTATCAATTTGTTGGGCTTTTAGGTCAATTAGGGCTTTATTAGGCCTATTAGGCCTACTAGAATATCATAAAGCCCATTAGTCACATGCTTGGGCTTTTAGGTCCATTAAGCTTCATTGGGTCCATTAGGCTTGCAAGGCCCATTAGGGTTTCAAGCACCCCGAACGAATCAACTCAACGAGGCAAGCACACCGCCACCTGACACAGCGGCCGGTGGCGGCAGCCACCACCCTAAGGTGGTGGTTTTCAATTTCTTTTATTATCCAAATCACATCACAATTTACAATAATATCCAAATGACACACACACACTTATAATATAACACACACACACACACAGCCACACTGTTTTTTATGGTGGCCGACGGTGGCGCATGGTGGCAGCCACCACCCTATGGTGGTGGTGATGCCATTTCCGAGAGCTACAACTATACACACACGCACACCAACTGAAACGCACATATTTGCTTCTTTACTCAGAAAGGAAAGCCAACAACCCACCTGGCGGCGCACGGTGGCGGTGGTAACATGAGGAGGCGGCAGAAACGGTAATAACTTTGCTAGCAGCGGCAGCCACCATGGCCGGCGGCCATGGTGGTTTGTCTTCAGGTCTTCCTGTCGATCCAGCGCCCAAATCGACATCAGCAACCCAAGAGCACCCCCATGCCTGCGATACACGGCTGAAACTCACACGCACCCACCCTTACAGCGGTGGTGAGCGGCGGCAGTTGCAGAAACAACATGGATGGCGGCGATAGCAGCGATCTAGAGCAGCAACAACAACCGCTGTCTCGGTCTTCACTCTTGTCGCCGGATTCACACGATCAGAGGTTCACCATGGCGTCATAGAGGCGGCGGCTAGAGGGCAGCATAAGGAGAAGAAGAAACCGCAAAGTGACGGTGGTAGTGTTGAGGTCGCTGGCAGCCCTCGCTAATCGGAAACATGGCATGGCGGCTGTGCGATGGCGGAGGAGAGATGGTGGCGCCAGAGTGAGTCACAAGGGTAGGGAGATGCGGCTGATACCATTTCCTTAGGATTAGGTTTCTTACGCTTTTAAACACCCGACACCTTCTAACCTATTGCCATAATTGCAGAAACAGTCCCTCTCTATAAAATTCTTTTCAAACCAAGGCCCCTAATTTACCTTTTCTAACCCAGCTTCGGAAATTCCCTTCAAATTTGATACCTGATTTACCAAACAGCCCCTAGGCCTCCAAAATCTTTTCAATGACGTCCCAATAATTACTATTTGGTCCCTACCTTCCATGATACTTATAAATTAAATTTGAATTTTACACTTTTAACCTCCAACTTCTAAATTCTTCACAAATTAGTCTGGGACTTACATTTATTAATTTATTTAAATAAACGGGGCGTCACAACTCTCCCCCACTTAAATTAGATTTCGTCCTCGAAATCATTTCTTACCGTTCCTTACACGCCTAACCACTCTAGTATCACGATTACCATCCTAGGCACACCCTAGCCTTCCCAGGGCAACCAAAGCTATCCCTCACAGGGTTCTAGAACCCTAAGATGAGCGAATTTCTTGTATTAAAATCACATTACTCACTCTGAAATTTGTAGTCTCGAGATGGTCTGACCTCCTGACAGACCGCCCATACTGAATCATTATTGTTGAACCCAGTTCACTTATCTCACAACTGCCTACTCATCTCCTGATAACTCAAGGTTCCCACTATAAGACAGAACCACATACCTAATTGTCTCGGCAGATCACTTATACTTGGCTTAGGCTCATCTAACCCCGTTGTGAGTGACTTGGCACTTCCGATCATCAAGCTACTCCACACACACGAATAACGTCCCAAATCACTACTATTGTCTGAAGCATCACTCTGTATCATATCTGCTTTCCCAAGGCACCCGAGACCTTCCTGGTCTCATCTCGTTCGCCAATCATCTGAAATACCAGATTCCGGCCTGGTCGCTAAGCTAAAAGGACTCCCACTTAGTCGCCTCACACGACTTCTGAATGAAATCCTTCTCTGGAACTAGTTGCCACTAGTTATCATGCCACTGAGGCTCTAATAACCTTCTGATCTAACTGATCGGGTCCATGCGTCGAATCATGTCATCATCCAATCCAAGACTAAAAGTGATTGCTACCTGACCAATGGTAGCCTTATCTCACACGTCCTTAAGCACTCCATTGCTTCTCTGATCTCATAACTGTAGTGACGTTCCTTCAGTCTTACCACTGGCTTAACCAAATCTAATCCCTCTGGGCAAATCCATAAACCAATCCGTGGATTTCCATATCCTCACTGGTACACCCGAACTGGTGGGTACTACTGTTCCTTCCGCGTCCTAACAACGCGTTCACGCTATCTACCAACCTAGTGAATGTTGCGGCTACACCCACAGACTTACATCACTCTAGCACTATCTGCTAACCCTGTGAATGATACGGCTACACCCGCAGACTTACAACACTTCCCATACTACCTGATCGCTAGTGAATGCTACGGCTACCCCTGCAGTCTTACAACACTTTCCATACTACCTGATCACTAGTGAATGCTACGGCTACCCCAGCAGTCATACAACACTTTCCATTCCGGTCAAACATGCACTTGACCTAACACACAACTGAACTTGAGTCCTAACTGGAGCTCTAACTTGGTTCCCGAAACCTGTTGTCTGGAAGTCTCGAAGGATGTCTGCTGCTCAGGCCCCCAACGAAAGGCCACCGACTTCTTGGTCAGTCGGGTCAAAGGAACTGCAATCTCAGAGAAGTCCCGTATAAATATCCGATAATAACCCGCTAGACCCAGGAAATTTCGAATCTCAGTTGGAGACCTCGGAATCTCCCACTGCATCACGACCTCTATCTTGGCCAGATCGACCAGAAACCCATCTGGTTGACAAGGTACCCAAGAGATTGCACCTCACGCAACCAGACTCACATTTGGAGAACTTTACAAAAAGTATCCCCCCACTTAGATTCGACTAAGTCTTCACTGTACGCGATAATTGAAGGATTCCTAATCCTTCTCGCTTTCTAGTATCCAACTGATGACAACTTGTGCTTACCAATGCTAGCGATTAATCACCGGTTAAAACTTAAGATCGCCCATCCTCGGAAATATTGATGAGTACTCTTGAAATCTGGTCCAGTCTGACACCTCAATCCATCACCTATGCGAAAATACCATTCTCTTGAACATCCGATGACCAACCACTTATACATCTAACACCCGCAACTGACACTACCCTCTTCATGTTACCAGTTCTGTCCTACCAACGGTAGTACCTTGAAGTACAAAGTTCATCCATAGACAATTTTTGACCACACCTGAATAATGATAGAACCCTTGAACGCTGACTTCACTGGA